ACCTGCCGGCCCACGTGTTCTGTTTTGCCCCGCAGAACCTCCACAGTGACTGAGCTGGGGGAGGAGGAGGGTGGGAGCAGCTCCAGGCAAGAATGCCACAGTCTCCCACGGTCCCTGCACAAAGTCTGCAGTTTTCCAAACATAAACACATCTCAGATTGTTGTATGGTTTTGGCCAGTTTCCAGAGCAGCAGAGTTATTTGGTCAATTTTTTTTCCAGCACTATAGTTGCTTTTTTGAGGAGAGGATTTGCTGACCTCCTTCCTTGGCGATAGCTAGAAGTGCTACCCAAAGCATCTGAGACTTGAATTATGTTTTGAATAATTGGAGAAGTTGAGACTTGAAAAAGATAAATGCCTCAATTGGAAAAGGATTGCACTCCTACCAAAACTATCTAAATAGCCCACTGCAAACTGGTGATCCAATCGTTTAAAATGGTTACGACTGATAATGGGAACTGGCTAAGGAACAGGAGGTATGTGCTGTGTTTCCCTTCTGTCTTCTGCTGGTAGTTCTGAATTCTTTCACGCTCTGCTCTTCACGAACTATCCTTGTATTCATTGACACTAACTTCCTTTAGTCCTTTGAGATTGGACGGTCATTGGTTACCTAGCGGTCACAACAGTTCAAACTCAACAGTATGGCATCTTAGTTTGGTCTTTACAGCGATGTCTGTGTAGTTGTTTAGTATCACATCTTACCTGGTTAGGCAAAATGTCTGGGAACTGGAAAAATGAAAATCCCACAGCTAATGATAAGAACTTATATTCTAAGAATTTGAAACAGGAATCCATAGATCATTGAACTAAAGTCAGTGATAGGCTCACCTGTGAAGGGTCAGAACTGGGGTGTATGGTAAAGAAGGCATGGACTCCTGGAGGCCTAGAGACTTATTCTTGTGGGGGTGGGGTAGGTTGTGTTGCATTTTAGTGGGTATTTGCATTTTCAACAAGGCTTTACTAGATCTGTGGTTGTGTGGTGTTTTTCATATTGAATACCATGTTTGTCTTCACCATCTCACATGAACTAAAATTGTCCTGTTATTAGACTGTAAAGTTTTGTTTCTTGCTGACACCATCAGTGAGTTCGTCATCAAATGCCACAATTAAGCTCACATGTTGTCACACTCTACATGTCTCATATAGAAGGGCTTTTCTCAGGAAAATCAAAGTTCTCTTTTATGTGTGTATTTTATAAAAAGGGATAGTTTGGTTGCTACCACAAAACATCAATTTCTCTAAGATTTTACTCTCATCAGATTTGTGGTTTGACATATAATTAGCCTTTTTATTGTCTTTCATAAAAACAATTAATTACCAGTATCTTCCTCCAACTGCCCCCCAAAGGTGCATATCCTTACTGGGGCTAAGTAACTCTTATTTATTTGTTTTTGTTTGTTTTATTTTGTTTATTTGTTTTGTTTTTATTTGTTTTGTTTTTGTTTTGATTTATTTACTTATATATTAGAGAGAGAGAGCACATTGGGGGAGAAGCAGGAGAGGGATAACCAGACTTCACGCTAAGTTAGGAGCCTGATGTGGGGCTGGAGATCCCATGACCCTGTGATCATGACCTGAGCCGAAATCAAGAGTCAGACGCCTAACTGGCTGAGCCACCCAGGTGCCCTATTTATTTTTAATTTTTTAAATTATTTTTTTTTAATGAGTGGAAGATGTTACTTTATTTTCTTTGTAATTATTTTCTTTTTAAAGACAATTCTTTAGAACAGAGGAAAACAAAGTCCGGTTGAACAACATGGGTTTGAACTGCACAGGTGCACATGTATGTGGGTTTTTTACAGTTCAGTACCTTAAATGTATTTTCTCTTATGACTCTCTTAATAACATTTTCTTTTCTCTAGCTTATTTTACTGTAAGAACACAATATGTAATACATGTAACATGCAAAATATGTGTTAATCAACTGTTTATATGTTATTGGTACAGCTTTTGGTCAACAATAGGCTATTAGTAGTTAAGTTTTGGGGAGTCAAAAGTTATATGTGGATTTTTGACTGCATGGGGGTTGATGCCCTGAACCCCTGCATTGCTCAAGGGTCAACTATACTTGGGTAATAAATGTAATCTCAAACCTAGAAGCCACCAAATTGGGAACTAATTTGTAGTTGTTATGTTTCCTTGTGAATAAGAAAATATTCTTTTTCTTTCTTCTCTAGGGTTTCCCAAATGATTTCTGACACCTAGAATATTACAACTCTGCATTGAACAGTTAATTAAACTAGTAGATAGGTTGCAATTAGCTTAATATTTCATCTCTGAGGCCCCTTGGCTAAAGTATATATTAGTAGCTTTAGGGTGAAGAAACCTGGCAGCCTTACCCAGGTGAACAAGGTTAACCTCATGGGTGAGAGGCCACACCCGGAACTTGGCATTACCTGAGAGGTGTGAAGAACAGCATTATTTCAGTGATACTCCTGCGAAAGATGTATGACGCCAATCTCATCAGGAAGAAACACCAGACAAATCCCAATGGAAGCACACTGTATAAAATAGCTTTCCTGCAACCCTCAAAAATATGAAAGTCGTAAAGGTCAAGTCAAGGGAGGACTGAGGAATTGTGCCGTATTGAAGGAAACTGAGGAAACAAGTACAATTGTGCTCCTGATTTGAATCCTTTTGCCACGAAGCACGTTGAGACAGGTGCTGAAATTTGAATGGGATCTCTTGAGTGAGGGGTGTATGGAAATTTTTCTACTGTTGTTGCAACTTTTCTGTAAATTTGAAATATATTTTTTAAATGTCTTCCCCCCCTCACTTTGCAGACTTAAATTTTTATTTTTTATTAAAGATTTTTATTTATTTATTTGGCAGAGAGAGAGAGAGCACAAGCAGGGGGAGAGGCAGGGAGAGGGAGAAGCAGACTCCCCGCCAGAGCAGGGAGCCCTATACGGGGCTCGATCCCAGGACCCTGGGATCATGACCTGAGCCGAAGGCAGACACTTAACTGACTGAGCCACCCAGGCATCCTAAACATTGGGTTTCTTATTGAAGGGCTTGTGTTCTAAATCTGCCACTTCCTGGCACTATTACTTTCTCCAGCTAGTGACCTCTTGTTTTTAATGAGGATTTTTCTACCTCATTACAGGTTACATGTAAGGGTCAGACGAAATAATTTCTTCAATCATACTTTTGGCAATCAATAAAATGAAGATGAGCCATTAAGGAGGAGAATCCTGGCAAGATGGTAGCAGTCTAAGAATTGTCCAGAGGGTCCTAGAAGAAGGATGTGTGTTGGAAGCTCTAAACAGTAATGTAGTTAGACCTCCATTGCCTGCTCAAGCCCAACCAGGAAGAGAAACGGGACCACAGCTCCTAGCCCTCAGGCTCTGGCTGGCTTAATCATTTGCTGTCCACCTTCTCAGGTCCTTCGTCACAGCACAGGGATGGGCCTGTGGAAAAAGAATTTGACTAGTGGCCAGTTTTCGTTGTAGCCCTGCAGACATAGATTTACCTTCCAGATATTTTAAGTCTAATCCCTTTGCCTCACAGGTGAGAAAAATTGACTCCAAGTGAAATTAGATTGTTTGCCCATGTAGTAAATGCCAGTAGCAAAGTTAGTGCTCAGGGTTTGGTCCATCCTGGTGCAATTCTACATCACCTTATTGTCACTATTAGTCTTGTCTTCCCCAGAGAGACTGACAGATCCCTGAGGGAATACACTATATCTTAGACATTACTTCCTGAATTCCTTAAAAGACTCAGCAGAGAACTGTGTACACAACAGGTATCTGGAAAATCCATGATGAATTAAAAAATGATCACTATTTCTGATTTATTGTTGTTGCTAAGAAAGAGGGACTATGGGAAGCTCAACAAGCGGCCAGTTAGGTGGCTTTCTTCTAGAAAGATGCTGGTGCTTGGACTGGAGAGCACAGTGGAATCCAGAACACACCATATACTCGGTCAATTTCCCAAAGGTCCGTGTCTGACAGATTTAAAAATGAGTGAAGACACGGGCAGTCTTCCGAAGGTGCAGCTTTTGGTTTTATTTCAACTGGCTGCCAGTATACAAAAGTATAAGATATATTTCTTTAAAAACCTAAACCAACCACCAACCCAAACCCATAACTGGTAATTCAATTGTTCAGGAAAGGGGGGAGCCCCGAGCTCATCTATATAACAAGACATCTTGCTCCAGGTGCAATGTGCAGTCCTCAGGTGAGGCCCTGTCTCCACACTAACACAGCTCTGGTCTCCAGTGGCTTGCTGGCTTCCCATGCCTTGGCTGGGCTGGGACTTTTTTAACCCCAAAGGCAGAAAATCAAAATCACAGATTTTTATTGGATATTTTGACATGGCCCTTGAAGTGACATCTTTAAGATAGCTAAACTCAAACTCAGACTCATATAAACGTGAATCTGGGAAGAAAGGCCGGCCCAAAGAGAGGAGGGTCAGACCGACCCCTCCTTTCCGCATCAGTGACCCCGCGAATGCCCTGGCAGACTGAAATGGAAGCAAAGAAGGGGACTCGAGTGTGCATGACCTGATGTCAAGTCCTGGCTAAAATTGTCCCCAGCTGTGTGTTTTTACGAGGGTCGTTTACCCTCCTGAAGCCCCGGCTCCCTCCGTCTGTCATCTCCTGCCTTCTCAAGGCAGACAGGTCCATCTGCCAGCATGGTGCAAGAGCTAATGCGACTGAAATCCGAAGTGCTGCACGGGGGGGGCAAGGTGGTCTGAGGAGGCGGAGGAGGAGGACAAAGAGGAGAGAAAGTAGGATCAAAGAAAGGAAGGGTGGAGAGACAGAGCCAACACAGTACAAGGGGCGTGGGCACCACTTCTGGGCTAGGCTTGGGCTTAGGTGATGACGTTAGCGGGTGGGTCCTCTTCACCACACAGAGGAGAGAGCTCGCTGCTCATTAGACCTGACCTGGTGCCAGTCACTGGGAAAGAAAATCAGCCCTCAGACTCACTACTATGAAGATACCCTTCATATGGCTTCCATTCACAGGATCACTTGTAAAGCCTCTATCGTCTCTCTGGGCAGGAGACAGGCTGCTGAAGGGGCTCCCAGCCTGGCCCTGGAAGAGGTCACATCTTCACACTTCTTCAAGCCACAGAAAACTTGAACCAAGTGGTGTGGTCATACTCCTCCCCAGGCCTCAGCAGCACAGGAGGGAAGTGGGGCTGTGAAGGGAAAAAGAAGACAGGTCACACTTGCCAGCCCAGCTGCCCCCTTCACCATTCAGGATGGCTCTGGACTGCTCTCTAGAACCAGCTGCCAGGGTAACAACTGTTTACTATTGGTTTGCAGTGAGAGAGAACTCAAGCCACATCACTGAGCACTTTGTTACAGCAGGACTTTCCCGATGAAGGAGGCCGTGTATCAATTTACATTCTGGTGCAAGCCACAGAGCTGGTGCTTTGGGGAGCACTACTCTAGGCAGTAGCTAGAAAAAGAAGTCATCAGTAAGCAAAAAGGAAGAGAAGATGGGATCATTTTAAAAGTGTGGTTGGGGCGCCTGGGTGGCTCAGTCATTAAGCATCTGCCTTTGGCTCAGGTCATGATCCCAGGGTCCTGGGATCGAGCCCCACATCGGGCTCCCTGCTCGGCAGGGCGCCTGCCTCTCCCTCTCCCAGTTCCCCTGCTTGTGTTCCCTCTCTCGCTGTGTCTCTCTCTGTCAAATAAATAAAATCTTAAAAAAAAAAAGTGTGGTTGCAGGGGGCGCCTGGGTGGCTCAGTCAGTTAGGCGTCTCTCAGTCTCGGCTCAGGTCATGATCCCAGGGTTGTGAGATCAAGCCCTGTGTCGGGCTCCGTGCTGGGCGTGGAGCCTGCTTAGGATTCTCCTTCTCCCTCCCCTTCTGCACCCCACCTCCCAAAAAAGTATGGTTGCAGAAGATGAGCAAGTATTGATAAGGAGCAACATTGAACTGAATAAAGGCTTTGAAGGCATAAAATAGATTAAAAAAATACATAAATGCTATGTTCGTAACTTGGCTAAAGGTTTCCTTATCATGACTGGGAGAAGAGAACCCCGTGGACCTGTGATTCACACAGACCTGAGGGTCGTGACCCCTGTCATACAGTGTGACCTTGGGCACAACACCACTGAGAAGCCAGGCTGGAGCTTTACCTGATTGACGGCATCAGGCCAGTTCTGGGTCTCGAGACAGAAACCAGAGTGCTTGGGATAGATTGCTCCGCCCTTGCCCTTCAGCGCGCCATCCAGGAAGTTGCCTGTGTAAAACTGGACCCCAGGCTGGGTGGTGTACACCTCCAGTAGCCGCCCGCTTCCAGCATGCCGGACCCTGGGGGTAAAGCAGACCACATCGGTACATCGGTACAGGACGCAGAAGCCGGCAGGGACAGGGCGAAGCTGGGCAGCAGCCTCTGAGACAGTAAGCAGGCCCAGCCACAGAGCAGGGGCAGATACACGGAGACAAAGATGGGGAGAGCATGATGGGAAATTCTCGTAGTCTCCTGGGTGAGGCGTGAGCAGGTGGTTCTGAGGATCCTCCAATGGCCACTTCTCACTGTGATCTTGGCTTCTCTGAGGAAGGCTCATCCCAGCCAGATTGTGTGTGTGTGTGTGTGTGTGTGTGTGTCGAGGGCAGCCAGGTTGAAGAGACACAGTTTTCAGGTTCTGGAGGGGCTGAGATTCTTTCTCATAAAGAGTTGGAGCTCTCTGCTTGGCCTGGCAAAGCCACCAGCTCTGTCTTGAAAGAGAAGAGATGCTTTTCTAAATTAAACCATCCCCCTTCCCTGGGGCTCGAGCAGGTGGCGCTTTTCAGTCAGATCTCCCCTGAGAACAGATGTACTGTCAGTTTTTGCTAGATTCACTGTTTCCTTTAAAAAAAAACAACAAAAGAACCCCCCAAAAAACAGGCCTCTACAGAGCTAAGGGTACCTACCCGCTCCCATACTTGGTGTTGAAGGGATATAGATAAAGAAAAGCCTCAGTCTTCCCCTCTCACTGAGAGGTAAAACATCCCAGCAATGTATGGTCAATGAAGAGGTTCAGGGAAAGATGTTTGGGAAGAGGAGGGCCAGGATTTGAAGAGTGGAGAGAGGCCGGAGAGTCTCCTCGAGGTGGGTGCAGGAGAGAGAGAAATGTGAGCACTAGGCAAGAGGAGAATGGCAGAGTCCAGCCAGAAGAACACAGGGACTGGGGCTCTGAGGGGGAGAAGGCTTTTGAAGTTTCTCTTGGAGTTTGAATCACTTTCTCTGCTTTATTTCAAATCCATTTATTCTACAGACATTATTTGCTGGCGCCAAGCATGGTGTTAGGCACTAGGGCAGTGGAGGGGGGGGACTCAGGGAGACGAGACGGCGCGAGGAGTCAGAATTTAGTGAGGAGGAGGGAGGGTGCACACAAATGCCGCTGAAACAAGGCTGCTGGTGCTGGTGGTGGGTGCTCTGGGGAGAAGGGCGACCTCTGACGCTCCATGGAAGTAGAGCATGAATCACATGTGAACAAAGTACAAAGGGCTCCAGAAGTTCAAGGAAAGCAGAGGTGACTTCAGTCCGGAGGAATCAGGCCTTCTAAAAACAATGGGCCTTAAAGAACAGGCACAGATGGAGAGCGAGGGAGCGAAGAGAAACAGGCTGCCAGGTGGGCGCACAGGGCTAATGGCCCGGTGGGGGAGGGGGAGAGAAGTTTGGGGGGGGCGGCTCCGTGGAAGAGGAGCTTTGAAAAGACAGGGGATGTGTATGCGGTCCCTGCAGCAGAGTAAATGCTACTGATACGGCCAGAGAAAAAGCTCCTCATATAGGACGTGGCATCTCTTCTTCCCCACAGAGGCAGCAACTGAAGAGAACCTACCGTGCACAAAAGTGCTTTTCTTTAGATCCCTTCAGACAGAAATTGTGGTCGAAGCCATTGAGATGGAAGTCCTGCAGGTGCTTCCCAAGCTCGACTGGCTTCCGCAGGTCAAAGGCAGTTCCTTGTACTGGAGCAACTTCTCCTGGTGGAAAGAGGCGGATAAAAAGGCAGCAGGCTGGAGCACTCTGGTCAGGCTTTCTTGAAAGAGGAGAGGGATTCTACTCCAGAGCTTTACACCGTGATCCAGTTTAGTCTCTGTCTTTATTTAAAAAAAAATTTTTGTTTTCCTAATTTGAGCATAGTTAACACACAATATTGCGTTAGTTTTAGGTGTGCAATGTAGTGATTCAGCTTCTCTCTACCTTATGCCGTGCTCTCCATGAGTGGGGTCCCCGTCTGTCACCAGGCAACTCTATTACAATACCACTGCCTAGATTCCTCGTGCTGTGCCTTTTATTCCTGTGACTTATTCATTCCACAGCCGGAAGCCCAGTTTAGTTTCTTTAAAAGTCCTCTTTTGTTCTAGAATAGTATCACATATTTAAAGGTGGACACAAATGCTAGTTAGTTAATATACTCTTCTAGGGTTAGAACTACTTTTGCCGAGGCACCTGGGTGACTCAGTCCTTAAGTGTCTGCCTTCGGCTCAGGTCATGGTCCCAGGGTCCTGGGATTGAGCCCCGCATCGGACTCCCTGCTCGGCGGGAAGCCTGCTTCTCCCTCTCCCACTCCCCCTGCTTGTGTTCCCTCTCTCGCTGTGTCTCTCTCTGTCAAATAAATAAATAAATAAATAAATCTTAAAAAAAAAAAACTACTTTTGCCTTTCATGTGGTCAGATGGAGATGTTGTAGGAACTTGGTTTCTGTGCTATTTTTAGAGGAGAGAGAGGTAGCATGCAAAGTGGGTCTGAAGTCTTAGGAGGCTGAGAAAACTCAGGAACTTGTAACTTACCACTAAAAGATTTAAACAAGTAAAAGGAGAACCAACTTTAGCTGTTCAAAACGTTGAGTTCTGCTTTTGTGTGTTCCTAAATACTAAGAGGAAACACGAATCTCCTATCTTTGGGCGAAAGACAGCAACCTTTTCTTAAACTCGGAGCTCCTGTTCAGAAACATGGTCTTCCTGGTATGTGAGGACTGGAGTCTGTGAGTTCACACAGAGCTGCGGGGATGCCTGGGGTCCAAAGCACCCAAGGGGGACCCAGAGGCCTGGCCAATACCATCCTAGCGTCCGATGCCCACTATTTGACCAAGGGAGTTTGGGAAGCACACAGAAGAATCCTTCTCTTACCAGAGTCAGCTCTAGGAAAAATTAAGTAGCATTCTTTTTGAAAACACTCTTTAAAACCATCTATTTCCTTTGCCTGCTTCTGCTTGTACGAAAAAGAATTTTTGAATGGGTAATATTTGCACATGAGATCAATTTATTTATTTATTTTTAAAAGGTTTTATTTACATGAGAGAGAGAGTGCGAGAGAGAGAGAGAGCATGAGAGGGGCAGGGGTCAGAGGGAGAAGCAGACTCCCCGCTGAATGGGGAGTCCGAGGCAGGACTCCATCCTGGGACCCTGGGATCATGACCTGAGCCAAAGGCAGATGCTCAACTGACTGAGCCACCCAGGTGCTCACATGTAATCAATTTAAAAGGTAACAAATGTAAAAGATACAAAATACTATAAATCAAAACAATCTCTCTCATCTTTGCTCCCCACAGATCCAATTTCCTTCAACAGAAGCAACCGCTGTTGCTTGTTCCTGACCCAACCTTCCAGAGATGTTACAAGGATATCGAAGTATGTAAACACAGACCCATGCACACACACACACAAAGACAGAGCCTATTTCCACCTTGATCTTTTTATTCAATTTGTCTTGGAGGTTGTTGCTAAATTTATTCCTATGTATTTCATTGGACAACTCTATATGCACTCATATTTCTATTTTTTCTATGATAATCTGTCAATTTAAAATTTCTTTTCTGGTGTCCTAATTGCAAATTTATATTTTTCTAGAAACATATGCATTCCATCTATATTACTCTCACTTATTTGTAGAGTTGAGGAAGACAGTAACTTATGATCCTTTCAATTTCACCTGTCTGTGGTTATTGGCCTGTGCTCATTTCTAACTTTGTGCATTGAGTAGGTTAGCTCATGCTATATCTATTTTATTTTTCCCCCCTCCAATGAAGCAGCTCTTGGATTCATGTATTAGTACTATATTTTTCCTCCTCTTTTCAAAATAATAATTTCTGCTTTTATTTGTATTAATTTCTCTTTTGTTTTCTTGGGTTTATTTTGCTGTTTTTCAAATATCTTGCATTAGATGCCTAATTAATTTATTTTCACATTTTTTGGATTAATATAAGTATTTAGTGCTACAATGTTCTTCTGAGCAATAGGCTTTATAACACATATAGGAATTTCAGTTATATATAATTGTAACATCATATTTCCATTTATTATACATTCCAATATATATTATGTATATATTTCCATTATATGTAATTATGATATATTATTTACTTATTTTCTAAATGTTACTAGTTTTGGGGTTTGAATTCCCTTTTGATCCAAGAATTAGAAAGAGTTAAAACATTTCTAGGTCAGTATTGGCTGTCTGACTCCTATTTGGTGAAAGTACCTGAGGTTTCCTTTATGGTCTCAGATATGGTGAACTCTCATTGTAAATTGCATCCTTTATCACTACAAGGTGCCCTCCTTTATGTAATTCAATGCTTTCTGTCCTGAAATCAACCTTTGCTGATATCAAGATTGAGACTCCTGCCACTTTGGCTTTCATTTGCTTGGTTTGCTTTGAAATCTATTTTTAACCTTTCTGTACGACTTGGTTGCACACAGCATTCTGACGGGTTTTGCTTTGTGATTCAATCTGAGAGACTTTGTTTAGTAGAGGTATTTTATGGCATTACTATGACATATGTATGTTCTAAGTATTCTTAGCTCTATCGTTACATTGTATGGTGTGCTTTCTGTGTTTATGAATTTTTGTTGTTGCTTGCTTTTTAAAATCTTTTACTATATGGTCTGTGTGTGTGTGTGTGTGTGTCTTATAAGTTTGAAAGCTTGTAATTTTGTTTTAGTGGTTACATCTGTATATAAGTAACTTCAATATAATATACTTAATCCTCTGTTTCTCAGAATCTGCTAAGCTTTTCCTTTTTTACCCTTTCTCCTTTCTCTTTGCTACCAGACTTGGGTTTCTGATGCTTTCAACAGTTGTTAAGAAGCCTAATAAGGTACTCTTGTTTCCCAGTAGATGGTGCTAGGGACACAATATAAAGAGCTTGCTTTATAAACATCCACCTCTGAATTCAGAGTCAGCCCTCTAAAACCTGATCAGTTCTAGGAGAATGAAGAGTTGAAGTTTTGGGATCCCTCAGGCCAAAGGCCAAATCCTGGATGGAAATGACCCACCTGGGTGCTACTGTCTTGTGAAGTCTGGGTGACCAACCACCTCCCACACTGATTTTTAAAAAGGTAAAATGTTTCCTTATGAAACAATTAGTCTGGGAAAAAGCAGCAGCTGTTTTCATGGGCTTAAGAAGATTTTTGTCTTACCAACCCATATTCAGAGTATCAATTTATGTTATGCTTTTTTCCCTAACCTTATATGGTATTCACAATATTTAGTTCCTTAAAGTCATGCTTGACTCAAACTCTGACCCTTATGACAGTTCCAATGTAATATTGCACAAGTCAGTCAAGATTACTTATTTCTCTTGACTTTAAGGTAAAAAAAAAAGTCATGGAATTTTCATGAAGGAGGGAGCCAGGGCATATTTCAGGTCTGTTTACCTGATACTGAGCAATCTACAAATCAAGGTTTATGTTAACTTTTCTCTTTGTAAAATGAAGCTATTATTTGCTGCCTTATACATTATATGGAAATATTTGATAAATGATAAATGGTTTCTGGAGGGTTGCATAAATAAACAGGCCAAATTTCAGGATAACATATGTAACACAAAGGAGAGCCTAGAGGGGGTAAGACTTCAGAATGGCAGAGAAGCCCTGACTTAAAAATGAGAAACTTGGGATAATTCCAAAATGAGATGTTAGCTAAATGAGAAGAAAAAAAGAGAGAGGGTTCCAATCTACCTTGTTCCAGCCTCATGCCCTGACACATGTACCTAATCATCGGGCAGATGGAAAACTTGGAATTGGTCCCCCAGATTCACTATGTCTTTGGGCCCTTTTTCATAACTGGAATGTCCTCTCTGTGCCTACCTCCAGCACACCCTGGCAAAGTTGTTTAAGAATACTTACTCTCCAATGCCATTTCCTCTGTGAAGGACTGTAACCACCACAGCTAGAACTAATCTCCTTTTCTACTTGGTTCTTACCACACTTTGAACATACTTTCTTTGTTTTGTTTTGTTTTTTTAAGATTTTATTTATCTATTTGAGAGAAAGAATGAGAGAGAGAGAGAGCACATGAGAGGGGGGAGGGTCAGAGGGAGAAGCAGACTCCCCGCCTAGCAGGGAGCCCGATGCGGGACTCGATCCCGGGACTCCAGGATCATGACCCGAGCCGAAGGCAGTCGCCTAACCAACTGAGCCACCCAGGCGCCCGACATACTTTCTTCAAAACATTGATCACATTAGGCATAATTATAGGATTATATCAAGCTCCTAGAGGGCAGGGATTGTGTCCTTTTTACTTTTGTACCCTCTGAGCATGAAGCGAGCCTTTACTGGATTGAAAAACTGATGTATGTATGAGGTAGAGGCAGAAAAAACAGGGGCAACTGTGAATGTTGGTACATCCTCTGGCAAAGTCAGAATGAAAGATCTAGAAAGTACCTTAGGAATTACCTCATCCAGTCCCTTCGCTTTGCTGATGATAAGATTGGGACCCAGAGAGCTAAAGGGACTTGCCCACGGTGACACATCTTCACAGTGTCAAAGTCTCCAGGCTCCTCACCCTGGAGTGACTTGGGTACAGTGCCTTCTACTGCCAACCCTCCAAGTGATTTTTCAAATAATTTGGAAAATCAATGTGCTGTTCTTCTAATTTTGGTCTCTCTGCATATGTGACTTTGTACTTTGGTGCTAAGAATAGAAGATGTCAAAATCACTCTCTCAGCAATGCTGAGTGTACAGAAAATGAGGCGGAAATGG